TTCTGCAGATCCACCATTGCCACCATCACCTCCGTTCTTTCACCTCGGATCTTCATCATCCCCTTGCTGATCATCACTCTCATCACCATCACCCTCACCAATCACCAAGCAGCTACAAAAAAAGAAAAAAAAGAAAAAGAAACCAGAGAAGACGAAGCAGATCTAGCTGCAAGCCCCTTTGGGGACTCCGATCTTGACAATCTTCTTGCATCTCATCATCATCACAGCCTCCACCTTCATCACCGGTAATCACCAAAGCAGAAGGGTTCAGCGACCACCAGAAAAGGGGAGAAGACGAAGCAGACCAAAGCAAGGGGTTCAACAGCCACCGAAAAAGGGGAAGATCCTCTTTTTTTATTTTTTTTTTTTTAATTTGGACAGTGTACACCGGCCATAATTTTGATGTACCGGCCGATACATCAAATTTCGTTGGTACACCGGATTTTGATCGAAAAATCTAGATTTTGACCAAAAAATCTGGATTTTGATCCAAACGAAATTTCATTCTATATCATTTCGGTTAATTTAAAAAACCAGTACGTACTGGCTATGCCGATCGATACAAAACAGAATTGATAACCTTGCTCTTTTTCCTATCTCTCTCATCATTCACTTTTTCTTTCTATCTCTCTCTTATTTGGCTCACTCGTAAGTCACAGGTACTACTAAATGTTCATTACCTTTTTTACCCTATTTTTGGTCTCCCAAACACTTCAACTTCAAAAAATTGTAAAGTCCTTTTTTATATTTTAACAACCTATCAAAATTGAATGCCTCATATATTCCTCACTTCCTCTCTTAATTAATGCCTTTTTTAGTCATTATATCCTTTCTTTCTCTTATTTTGGTCTCTTTTTCCTATCTCTCTCATCATTCACTTTTTCTTTCTATATCTCTCTTAATTGGCTCTCTCATAAGTCACAAGTGCTACTAAAGGTTCATTACCTTTCTTACCCTATTTTTGGTCTCCCAAGCACTTCAACATCAAAAAATTGTAAAGTCCTTTCTTATATTTTAACAACCTATCAAAGTTGACTGCCATGAATCCCTCACCTTTTCTGTTAATTAATGCTTTTTTCAGTTATTATAATCTTTCACCTATTTCTTCAACTCCACCATCAAAGTTTTTTTTACCCCCATACTTTTGTCTCACAAACCACTTTTTGATAATCTAGTTAAAATTTTCTTTTGTATTTAAGTGTAAAATTATTTTATATAACAACCTTTTTTATTTTTTACAACAAAAATCACATCTTAGTGTGGATAAGTTTTTTTTAAAATATATATATATATTTATATAGATTTTGATTTTTTTTAAAACTAATTAAGACTTAAATATAACATTTTGAGTGATTCATTATGTCATTTACTAAAAAATAGTGATTTGTTATATTTTAAATTTATAAATTTATGTGATATCTAAAGTATTATTTTAAAAATAAAAAAGAAAATAATGTATGGATAAAAAATTGCTCGATGATATTATTATTATACAATGTAGGTTATTATAGGTAAAATAAGCAAAATATTGTTTTGATATTCTATTGTTTAAAATGTTGTTTCCTCAAAAATCCTTAGTTGGCACTAACTACGTGAGTTTGGGTATAAGGCATGCCACTTGTTTTGTCTAAAATCAAGAAAATAGGATTTTTCCAAATGACCCTTCTGCTTTCCAACAATCAACCTCTAAAAGGATGGCTGAAAAAAATGCCTATAAACTAAATTGTGCCTTAGACAATGTTGCAAAACAAAAGGTGAAATTTTGCAAAATGGATTACTAATTACCTTAAACACCTCTAAGGACTTTAAAACCACATCGATGTAACAAAAGGCTACAAATCCTAAATTAAACGAAGTAAACAAAAAAAAAAAAGTAACATGCAATAAAAAGAAATTCGTAGACAATAGACTGTGTAAAATTATAAACAATAATTTCAACTATGCATACCATAATGATTTCTTAGAAATTAAACTAATTACTTGCAAACTTAAAACAAAGATAAGTAGTCTTTTTTATTACTAAAACCAAAAGAGAATCTACAAATTGATTAAAGTCTGGAAACTTGTGAAATTACATCCTAGTCTAGAAACTGAAGTTAAACAAACTGTAAGTCTAACAATTGTGTAGAAATGCAAAGGAGAAGGCAAAAAGCATTCAACCCATTCACATAAACAAATAATAGAGATAAATCCATAGAAGATAGAAAAACTAACTAAATCAACGAGCAGACTCACTTATAAGATTGAATTACTTCGAAGTCCTTAAAAATTAACAAAAGTTGTAATCTTTGAAGGAAAATACAAACAAAGATGGAAAAACCTAAACTATAACTAAGAACAAGAGCAAATCTTGCACTTTAATCTGGAAATCATGTTGAAATCTAGAAGAAAAAGTTTGAAAATTTAAGATGCATATGCGTTGGGCAGTTTTTCTATAGGGCAAGCTGTGTGTGTTAAACTAATTTTTTTTCCTCTCTTTCTATTTTTCTCTTCTGCTAGGTAGTTATCTCCACAATTCTCGCTCTTGCTTCCACAAAAATATGCAGTAAAAGGCCATGTCTAAGAGCAATTTTCCTCCTGGCAACTAACGATTACTCCTAAATAAATTTCCAACAAAATCTAGATAATCTCTCTTAAAATCTCCCCACAAGGTTAAACTTTAACCACCTTAAAAAACTTAGCCTACTTGAACTCTAATCACTCTATCATCATCCATTCAAAACTTAAGCCTAAAATCATTTATGGACACAACTCAACCCATCACAAAAAGTGGCCCAATTACTTCTAAAGCACACACATGACCTTTCTCTTTTATAATTTATTTTTTAAGTGAAAATAAAAGTATTGCAATACAAAGTGTACTAAACTATAAAATATCAGTTCTTATATAAGGGGCAGATTCTTAATGTTAAGGGTTATTTTTCTATTAAAGTCTTTTTTTATATATAATTTAATATAATTTTAATTACAAAATAATAAATTCTTTTATTCTTTATTTCTAACAACAAATTTTTAATTATATTTTTTTCACTAAAAATATATCCTCCAACAACAAATCGCAAAGAGGGTTTGAAAATTCTAGTTTGAAGGGCCAAGCATCATCCCCCATTGATGGACGTCACAACGTTGTCCATTCGCCTACTTGAGCTCTGCAAATTTTAATGGTAAAATGGCATTTTTGTATCTTAACTTTTTAGTTTATGCACATTTTGATCCTAAAACTTCAAAGCTATTCCTAATTTCAAAGTTCTTATTACAATTTAGTATCTGAACTTTTAAAAGAGATGCACTTGAATCTCAAAATTTCTAATTTCATGCATTCTTGTTCTTGTTTTACATAATAAAAAATCATGTAACATCTAATAAAATCACTTTATACTCATCTAAATATCAATAAATTAAGGTTAAAATAGTAAACTAAAATATATAAAATTTACTTAATCAAAATGAAAAATCAAATCTTTAATATCCAATTTAGAATATTTAAAAATAAAAAAAATAACGTTTAACTCTTTACATACACATAACCAATGTTTTTGAACCCGGCCCGGTGGCTGACCCGTTTTGGCCAGCGGGTCTGGTTCAACCGGTTGAATCGGTTCACCTGATCGGTTCAACCGGTTGACTAAAAAACATTTTTTTTTTACATTTTTTCACATTTTCTGTGGCTTCTGTTCAGTAATGAAGGGGGGCAAAATCAGTTTGGTCTGGTGAAGGAGAGGAAGATGGGTGGCGGAGCTGCCGAGATCTGAGCAAAATCAGGGACGATCTGTTATGCTTTGTTGCTTCTGTTTGGTCCGGTGAAGGAGAGGAAGATCCGATGAAGGAGAGGAAGATGAGTGGCGGAGCTGTCGAGATCTGAGCAAAATCAGGGACGATCTATTATGCTTTGTTGCTTCTGTTTGGTCCGGTGAAGGAGAG